CGTCTCACCCCCTACCAACCCCAGAGATCCCTCCGTTCTGAGGACCAAGATCTATTGGAAGTCCCCAGTGTCAAGACCTTGCGTCTAACGGCAACCAGACGCAGAGCCTTCACAGCAGTGGCGCCATCACTCTGGAATGCTCTGCCACCTGAAGTTCGTGCCCTGCGGGACTTACCAGCTTTCCGCAGGGTATGTAAGACATACCTGTTCCGACAGGCTTTTAATGTTTGATACTGTTGTTTTTAAATTGTTTTAAATTGCTTTTAAACTTTGTTAGATTTTAGCTATTCTTGTAAGCCGCTCCGAGCCCCAGGGGAGTGGTGGCATATAAGTTTAAATAATAAATAAATAAATAAATGTTCTAGAGGCATTCTCTCCTTTCGCCTGCATCTATGGCAAGCATCCTCAGAGGTAGTGAAGTCTGTTGGAACTAGGAAAATGGGTTTGTATCTGTGGAATGACCAGGGTGGGACAAAGAACTCTTGTCTGTTGGAGCTAGGTGTGAATGTTTCAACTGACCACCTTGATTAGCATTTGATGGCCTGGCAGTGCCTGGGGCAATCTTTTGTTGAGAGGTGATTAGATGTCCTTGTTTGTTTCCTCTCTGTTGTTTTGCTGTTGTAATTTTAGAGTTTTTTTAAATACGGGTAGCCAGATTTTGTTCATTTTCATGATTTCCTCCTTTCTGTTGCAATTGTCCACATGCTTGTGGATTTCAATGGCTTCTCTGTGTAGTCTGACATGGTGGTTGTTAGAGTGGTCCAGGATTTCTGTGTTCTCGAATAATATGCTGTGTCCAGGTTGGTTCATCAAGTGCTCTGCTATGGCTGACTTCTCTGGTTGAAGTAGTCTGCAGTGCCTTTCATGTTCCTTGTGTTCTCAATTCTAGTAGGCAGGGAAGCACATCTGTTCCAATTCATCCACCCCTTTGCATTTCAATGGCAAGATTGGAGTTGTATTGCATCAGGCACTGCCCAAAGGAATACATAATCTGCATTTCCTCAGAGAGGCTGGACTTCAAAAGGCTAGATTCAACTGCATTTTGCAAGCACATGGAATGCATGGACTGGTGAATGGACAGTTATTATTGTTTACATCTGGCAAATTGTGATTTATGATGTTAGTAGTGACCCCGACACACCTTGAGAGCCACCCTTCCTCACCTCATCCAATTTTTTTCTATGGGCCCTAGCTATTTAGTGTGCTCAGGACTGCTGTTTGAAGAAGGCGGAATGCATTAACTTCTATGGCATGAGAAGAGAATGAAATACCTGCCGAATGAGTCACCCGGGGGCATGACCCAACAGGTTGCATGTTCCTATGGGGCCAGCTAATCACCCTAGTTAAAAATAGCCAGCTCCTGAGCTTTTCCAGTATCTCAGAAGAGGGATTTTCACCAGGTATCACTTGTTCTGCAGCTAATGGGAAGTGGCAGGATGTATGTGTAGATGGAAAACAATGGGAAATGGGTGGAGGAGAGTTGTTTACATTGCATAGGGTGCATCTATAGCAGCCTTTCTCAACCTGGGGGACAGTTGTCAGAGGAGTCACCAAAGACCATCAGAAAGCACAGTATTTCTGTTGGTCATGGGGGTTGTGTGTGGGAATTGGCCCAATTCTATCATTGGTGTGGTTCAGAATGCTCTTTGATTGGAGGTGAACCATAAATCCAGCATCTACAACTCCCAAATGCCAAGGTCTATTTTCCCCAAACTCCTCCAGTGTTCATATTTGGGCATATGTATTAGTGCCAAGTTTGGTCCAGAATACTCTTTAGATGTACTTATTTCTTACATACTTACTTAGGTGATCCCTTGTTGTCCGAGTAGGATTGTCTTCCAAGATCGGTGTATGTTCTCCCACAGTGAGGGCATTGGTTTCGGTGGAAGGCAGTCCCAGTCGGGATAGGCTTGATGCGCCTTCCTCTTGACACATTTCTCTCTTTCACCCTCCATTCGTGCCTCTTCAAATTCTACAGCACTGCTAGTCACAGCTAACTTCCAGCTGGAGTGAGGTGAACGACAACTCCAAAACTCAAGGCCAATGCCCACCAAACCCTTCCAGTATTTTCTGTTGGTCATTGGAGTTCTGTGTGCCAAGTTTGGTTCAATTCCATCGTTGGTGAAGTTCACAATGTTGTTTGATTGTAGGCAAACTATAAATCCAAGCAACTACAACTCCCAAATGACAAAATCAACCTCCCCAGTATTTAAATTTGGGCATATATGATATTTGTGCCAAATTTGACCCAGTGAATGGAAACACATCCTGCATATCAGATATTTACATTACGATTCATAAAAGTAGCAAAATTACAATTATGAAGTAGCACCAAAAATAATTTTATGTTTTGGGGTCACCACAACACGAGGAATTGTATTAAAGAGTCGTGGCATTAGGAAGGTTGAGAACCACATACTTAGGCAATCCCTCGCTTTCCGAGGATGATTGTCTTCCAGTGGTCTTGTGGGTCCGTATGTGGCTGTGGAGCCCTATTCTTGCTCTGCATCTTCTTCCGCAGTGAGGGCATTGGTTTCCAGGTGGAAGGCGGTCTTGGTTGGGGTTGGCTTGACGCGCCTTCCTCTTGGCACGCTTCTCCCTTTCGCCCTCCATTCGTGCCTCCTCAAATTCTGCAGCACTGCTGGTCACAGCTGACCTCCAGCTGGAGTGGTCAAGGGCCAGGGCTTCCCAGTTCTCAGTGTCTATGCCAGAGTTTTTAAGGTTGGCTTTGAGCCCATCTTTAAATCTCTTTTCCTGTCCACCAACATTCCGTTTTCCGTTCTTGAGTTCGGAGTAGAGCAACTGCTTTGGGAGACGGTGGTCGGGCATCCGGACAATGTGGCCGGTCCAGCGGAGTTGATGGCAGAGGACCATCGCTTCAATGCTGGTGGTCTTTGCTTCTTCCAGCACGCTGACGTTTGTACTGTCTTCCCAGGAGATTTGCAGGATTTTCCGGAGGCAGCGCTGATGGAATCGTTCCAGGAGTTGCATGTGAACCACATATCTAGTGTCTGAATGAAGGCAGTTTCGCACCACTTTAACTGCCATGGAAGCCAGGGAGTTGCAGTTTTACAAGGTCTTGAGCAGTCTCATAGAGTTGGAAAAGACCTCGTGGGCCATCCAGTCCAACCCCATTCTGCCAAGAAGCAGGAAATGTGTATTCAAAACACCCCCACCTCTGTTTCAAAGCCTCCATAGAAGGAGCCTCCCAGAGGTCTCTTCCCAGAGGTGCAAACTACAACTCCCAGGATTCCATAGCATTGAGCCATGGTAGTTAAAGCACTATCAGACTCCATTCAGTCATGGAATTGAAAGTGGTTATTTATTTATCGTGTCAGGGCAACCAGTCAATTATATTACATCTCTAACAGAACAAAACATACAAAATTTGTGAGCTTGGTAGTTGATTAAATGTCCTTTGACCAGTATCTGGCCACTTGGAGTGCTTCTGGTGTTGCTGCAAGGAGATCCTCCCTTGTGCATGTGGCAGGGCTCAGGTTGCATTGCAGCAGGTGGTCAGTGGTTTGCTCCTCTCCGCACTCGCATGTCGAGGATTCCACTTTGTGGCCCCATTTCTGAAGGTTGGCTCTGCATCTCGTGGTGCCAGAGCGCAGTCTGTTCAGCGCCTTCCAAGTCGCCCAGTCCTCTGTGTGCCCAGGGGGGAGTCTCTCATTTGGTATCAGCCATTGGTTGAGGTTCTGGGTTTGAGCCTGCCACTTTTGGACTCTCGCTTGCTGAGGTGTTCCAGCGAGTGTCTCTGTAGATCTTAGAAAGCTATTTCTAGATTTAAGTCGTTGACGTGCTGGCTGATCGATGCTGTTGAAGTGGTAGGATCCTTAGGGGCAAGTGACCATGTGCTCCTGCAATTTGAGGTACAAAAGAAGGCCGAAACGAAGACAAGTCAAACCCGCATTTTGGACTTTAGGAGAGCTGATTTCCAAAAAATGAAGGAAACACTGAGCAGCATTCCGTGGACACAGATACTAAAAGACAAGGGAGTCCTCATGGACAACAAGTTAAACATGAGCCAACAATGGGATTTTGGCCTGCATCAATAGGAGCATAGTGTCTAGATCTAGGGAAGTCATGCTACCCCTCTATTCTGCCTTGGTTAGACCACACCTGGAATATTGTGTCCAATTCTGGGCACCACAATTCAAGAGAGATATTGACAAGCTGGAATGTGTCCAGAGGAGAGCGACTAAAATGATAAAAGGTCTGGAGAACAAGCCCTATGAGGAGCGGCTTAAGGAGCTGGGCATGTTTAGCCTGAAGAAGAGAAGGCTGAGAGGGGATATGATAGCCATGTATAAATATGTGAGAGGAAGCCACAGAGAGGAGGGAGCAAGCTTGTTTTCTACTTCTCTGGAGACTAGGACGCGGAACAGTGGCTTCAAACTACAAGAGAGGAGATTCCATCTGAACATGAGGAAGAACTTCCTGACTGTGAGAGCTGTTCAGCAGTGGAACTCTCTGCCCCGGAGTGTGGTGGAGGCTCCTTCTTTGGAAGCTTTTAAACAGAGGCTGGATGGCAATCTGTCAGGGGTGATTTGAATGCAATATTCCTGCTTCTTGGCAGGGGGTTGGACTGGATGGCCCATGAGGTCTCTTCCAACTCTTTGATTCTATGATACCCAAACAGGGGATGAGATGGAGATGTCTCTGCCTTGGTCCTATTGACAGTGGTATCAAACTGCATCAATTCTATGGTGCAAATGCACCCAGAGCCTCTGCAAGCTGTACAATCCAAGGCTTTGGCTCCTGGCCACGTTTTTGCAAAGCGACGCAACCCAATCCTTTCCTTTTCCTTCTTGGGGCCCAGTTGACGCTGCAATCAATAATAAGAGGGAGGGGAGGGAAGAGGGAAACCGCCCCAATTATGCAAAGCCAGGCGAGGCTGCCATTGGCCTTGGCAGTGGGAGGGGATGGGGAAGGAGGCTCGTTCCATCGCGCGGCTGCTATTGGCTGGCGGGAGAGGCGGGCTCTACTCCTATAGGGCGGGAGTGCCGCCGCGCAAGCACGCTGGGGAGTTTTCTGCCTTGTCCTGCCAGGCCAGAGAAGCATTTGGGGAATTGGCCGGCGAGAGGCGTGTCTGGTGCAGCAGCCTCTTCCCCTGCCCAGCCGGGTCCTTTTACCTGGAGCCTCCTTGCCAGGTAAGTCACAAAAGGGGGAAGGGGGAGCTTTGCCAAGCTAGCCTGCCATTCATCCTCCTAGGTGATGTTTTAAGTCCATTGGAGAGGAAGAAGAAAGGCCTCAATGCAATATTAGTGAGTGATCGAAGGCTTTCAAGGCCAGAATCACTGGGTTGTTGTGAGTTTTCCAGGCTGTATGGTCATGCTCCAGAAGCATTCTCTCCTGACGTTTCTCCCAGGCACTCTCATAGGTGGAAAGTAGGCAAGTGAGGTTTATATGTCTGTGGAATAATGTCCAGGTGGGAGAAAGTGTGAATGTTGCAATTTGCCACCTTGAGTGGCATTGAATGGCTTTGCAGCTTCAAAGCCTGGCTGCTTCCAGCCTGGGGGAATCCTTTATTGGGAGGTGTTGTCAATGTGTTGTCGAAGGCTTTCATGGCTGGAATCACTGGGTTGCTGTGAGTTTTCCGGGCTGTATGGCTATGTTCCAGAAGCATTCGCTCCTGACGTTCCACCCACATCTATGGCAGGCATCCTCAGAGGTTGTGAGGTCTGTTGGAAACTATGAAAATTGGGTTTATATATCTGTGGAATAATGTCCAGGTGGGAAAAAGAACTTTTGCCAGCTTGTTGCAATTGGCCACCTTGATTAGCATTGAATGGCCTCGCAGCTTCAAAGCCTGGCTGCTTCCTGCCTGGGGGAATCCTTTGTTGGGAGGTGTTGTCAATATATTGTCGAAGGCGTTCATGGCTGGAATCACTGGGTTGCCGTGAGTTTTCCGGGCTGTATGGCCATGTTCCGGAAGCATTCTCTCCTGATGTTTCGCCCACATCTGTGGCAGGCATCCTCAGAGGTTGTGAGGTCTGTTGGAAACTATGAAAATTGGGTTTATATATCTATGGAGTAATGTCCAGGTGGGAGAAATAACTCATGATGGCTTCACACAATTGTGAATCTTGCAATTGGCCGCCTTGATTGGCATTGAATGGCCTCGCAGCTTCAAAGCCTGGCTTCTTCCAGCCTGGGGATTCCTTTGTTGGGAGGTGTTGTCGATGTGTGTTGTCAATGTGTTGTCGAAGGCTTTCGTGGCTGGAATCACTAGGTTGTTGGGAGTTTTCCGGGCTGTAGGCCCATGTTCTGGAAGCATTCTCTCCTGACGTTTCGCCCACATCTATAGCAGGCATCCTCAGAGGTTGTGAGGTCTGTTGGAAACTATGAAAATTGGATTTATATACCTGTGGAATAATGTCCAGGTGGGAGAAATAACTCTTGATGACTTGAAGCAAGTGTGAATGTTGTAATTGGCCACCTTGATTGGCATTGAATGGCCTGGCTGCTTCCTGCCTGGGGGAATCCTTGGTTGGGAGGTGTTGTCGATGTGTGTTGTCAGTGTGTTGTCAAAGGCTTTCATGGCTAGAATCATGGGGTTGTTGTGAGTTTGCCATACTGTATGGCCATGTTCCGGAAGCATTCTCCTGACGTTTCACGTGGAGCAGAACAGACAACTCTGCATCTCTATGTTTACCCACTATGCCCTGCCTCATGTACAGAGGAAGAATTGTTGGAGGCTACAGACAATGCCGTTGCTGTTGCCCATTTTTGGTCAAAAGATATTTAGCCACCTGCTTCTATTTTTATCAGTTTTATACTAATTTATGCAATGCTTTTGATACGAAATAAAAAAAAAAAACAATATGAAAAGTGTTCTTATCCTACATCAAGGGAACCACTGACCACATAAGGAAGCTGATGAAGGAACACAACATAAAAATGATCTACAGACCCACTAAGAAAATCCAAAAATGCTACTTTCAGCAAAGAACAAGAGGGATCTTCTCACCTCTACAGGAGTCCATTGTATACCGTGCAGCTGTGGGACCACCAAACGTAGAATTGCCCAAACACGAATCAAGGAACATGAAAGGCACTGCAGACTAATTCAACCTGAGAAGTCAGCCATAGAAGAGAACTTGACAGATCAACACAGTATATTATTCGAAAACACAGAAATGCTGGACCACTTTAACAACCACCATGTCAGACTACACAGTGAAGCCACTGAAATCCACAAGTATGTGAACAATTTCAACAAAAAGGAGGAAACCATGAAAACGAACAAAATGTGGCCACCAGTATTAAAAAAAAACCCCTCTAAAACCAGACAGTCAATAAAGAGCAACACTCAAACAACACGGGAATTCCAGACAGGAAACAATTAGGCCAGCTAACACCTCCCAACAAAGGATTTCCCCAGGCAGGAAGCAGCCAGGCTTTGAAGGTGCAAGGCTATTCAATTCTAATCAAGCTGACCAATTGCAACATTCACACTTGCCTCAAACAGACAAGAGATCTTTCTCCCACCCTGGGCATTCCACAGATAAATAAATTAGCATATCTCTTATATGACTGGCAGATTTTAATCCTATTGTTACATTATATTGGGTTAATTATTATGGCTTTTATAACTTTTCATGAGATGTTGTGGTTTGATGACTATATTTATTTTTATGGTTGTGATGTTTTTGTTTACATATTACTCACTGCTTTGGGTCTCGTTCTGGGAGAAAAGCAGGATAGAAATAAATAATAACAATAAGGGATATTATAAGCTTGTCACTTCACGATTGACATGTGTTCCATACTAGAAGGGATGTCTCTTACCAGAAAGATTCAGAAAGGTTCAGAAAGGTTACCCTTTATAAGACTGGAAAGTGTCCCTTAGTATTTAAGGTTTGGTAAGCTTGTCCTTTTACTATTGGCAATTATTCTTCATTAGAAAGGATGTCCCTTACTTAAGGTTTAGACGGATTATCTCTTCTAGGTCTGGCAAGTTTCCCTTGTTAGAAAGGATGTCTCCCATTTGAGGGATGGAAGTTTTTTCTTTTTATATAGGTGGGAAAGAAATCATCCCACAAAGTCCATATTTTAGCACGTGGGTCATTCATAACAATGGAAAAGGGTGTGCCATGTCATTTATGAATGTGGATAGTACAGCAAGAGAGAATGGAATTCATTTGTTTGATGTTTGGGTAGAAAATAAACTTTTTAGCAGTTACTTCCTGGTTCTTAATCCTGCTTCCCCTTTTTTATGTTCAGATAACTTGCCAATATTGTTGGGTTCCCTAATCTTCCTTCAGTGTTGCATCAGTTCTTTCTGGAGCCTATATAGTAGTAGTACATGTATTTATCTCAATATCTTTTTCTTTTTTTGGAGGATGAGGAAAGAACTTCAAAGTAAAACTTTCTGCCTCAGGTGTTATTTGGGGAAGGAAAGTTTCATCAGGTGGAAATTCCTCTTCCAGATTGCAACCCTCATCAAGGAATCTTCCTGTCCCAAGTATTTCGGTCATTTAAAATATTTATGCCTAGCCTAAGGAGGCTAACAGCAATCAAGAGTGAATATTGTGTGTGTGTGTATATATATATATATTTAATGTAATTTTGATGCTGTTGCTTATCTTTTGGTTTTATTTTTGCTGTAATATGTTGTTTGGGCTTGGCCCCATGTAAGCCGCTCCGAGTCCCCATTGGGAAGATGGTGGCGAGGTATAAATACAGTTTTTTTTATTATTATTTATAATATTTTTAAAAACTTGTGAGGTCCCTTGGGTGCAAAGATGATAATAGATGCCACTGACACGAAAACAGAAGTTGGGTTATGGAGGTTCTCGCTGCAATTGAACAGCTATTAGAAGTTTATTGGGGATCTATGTCACATCGTCCCCATATTTGTGAGAATTCTTTGCACGTGTACACTAAAATTAGATCTTGTAGATTACACCTTGTTAGTCAACACAATGACTCAGTGGGAGTGAGTCAGCTCTAGGTAAAGGTTTTCCCACAACATATTAGTTGATTCTGACTTGGAGTGGTGGTGCTCATCTCCAATTCTAAGTCCAAGAGCTGGCGTTGTTTGTAGACATCTCCTAGGTTGTGTGGCCGGCATGACTGCATGGAGCGCCATTACCTTCCTGCCTGAGCAGTACCTATTTATCTACCCATACTTGCATGTTTTCGAACTGCTAGGTTGGCAGAAGCTGGGGCTGTTAACAGGAGCTCACCTTTACCTTCCTGCCCCGTGGATTCGAACCACTGACCTTCTGGTCAACAAGTTCAGCAAGTCAGCGGTTTAACCCACAGCACCACCATGGCCTTGATATTACTCTAGCTGAGAGTAATAGTAGTCCATTAGACAAAACAGATGTCTTTGAATTGTTTCCAACTTTATGCCAGGATTTTCTGGTGCAGAAAGTGTATAATAATAATAATAATAATAATACTTTATTTATACCCCGCCACCATCTCCCCCCAACAGGGACTCGGAGTGGCTTACATGGAGCCAACCCGAAGAACAAATTACAATACAAAAATACAAACTGGAGTAAAATAAACAACATAACAATAAAGTATAAAACATCAAAGCATATAAACAATATACACAAAACATAAAAACTAAAACATAAAGACAGAGAGCGGGCCACATGTACATAAAATGACTTGTCCAGTCAGTTAGTGGGTTTTTGTAACCTCGCAAGCTATTAACTGTAGTCAAGTTGACTGGGATTTATAGGCATTGGCACCTTAGGCGATCCCTCGTAGCCTGAGGATGATGATCCTCCAAGTGTAGTGTCTTGGCGGTGGGTCCATAGGTGGCTGTGAAGCCCTATTCTTGATCCGCATGTTCTCCCGCAGTGAGGACATGGATTTCCAGAAGGAAGGTGGTTCTAGTCAGGGTTGGCTTGACATGTCTTCCTCTTGGCATATTTCTCTCTCTTTCCCTCCATTTGTGCTTCTTCGAATTCTGCAGCACTGCTGGTTACAGCTGACGTCCAGTTAGAGCACTCAAGGGCCAGAGCTTCCCAGTTCTCAGTGTTATGCCACAGTTTTTAAGGTTGGCTTTAAGCCCGTCTTTAAATCTCTTTTCCTGTCCACCAATGCTATGTTTCCCATTCTTGAGCTGGGAGTATAATAACTGCTTTGGAAGACGGTGATCAGGCATTCGGACAACATGGCCGGTCCA